GAACGGTAGATGACTCAACAGAGGGGTACTTTTGGCATTTTTTATACATTAAACTAAAATAGCAGTTTTTGCAACAGGACGCTAGCAACAAAGAGCTTATATTACACTACCTGCTGCACCAGTTTGGCCATTGCTACTGGGAGCTTCGGTGCTGTTTTCATACTGCTCCAGTGGTATGTTGTCCAGACTGGACTCAGGGTCCTCCAGGTAGGCATTTCCTCCTCCACCAGCTGCGATCAGCAAGGGAACCAGCTCTCCATCCTCCTTCTGAAAAGACCACGCACGAGTAAATCTTTCAATTTAATTTATTTAAATGATGATGAACACTTTATATAAGCTACACAACAACTTTAGAAGTCCCAATGGTACAATAGATAAGAGCGATCATAAAAAAGTGAACCTCGTGCTAAAGTTCCATGCTGCATGCAGATATAATCGATCTATATTTAAATCTATGGATTAAAGAATGAAACACTGCTGAATCATTTCAAATGCTTATGTGCCACAGTGCTGTATCTTAACAATGCTATGCACACAAACCCAGAGAAAATGCACACAGTTCTGAAACGACTCAAAGTGTCTTCTGCTACCTTAAAGACGTACGTTGCTCCCCCTCCTCCGCCTCCTCCTCCAGCCCACTCTACACCAGCCTGCAGCTTGAGGTTGTCTTCAATCACAGATGACTCTCCGAGGCAGATCTTTTTGGTGTGAGGATTTCTCTAAAACATGTGGAAGATGGAAAATCAAGCTCCACAAGATTTAAAAAAAAAAGAAAAAGAAAAGTTGCAGAAACATGAACTTGGCATTAAAAAAGGAAAATCAGAATTTGGGACGCCGTCTCGTCTCTCCTCTTTAAGACATCCCACTCATCCCACATCAACAAATCCTTCCAGCCTGTTCTCACCCTCACTATACTCACCCCTGGGCATGCGTCTTCTCCCTGGTGTCCCACCAAGATGTAAAGCATATCTCCTTTTTCCAGAGGAAAGATGGCAGAAATAAAGACCCCATGGTTGCGTTTGTTGTGGTTTTTGGCTCCTTTTCCTCCTGCAGCCCCATAAGCAGAGATCCTGAGGGGGGATCATTGCAACAGAAGGAGATTTAATCCTTGGTCTTAAATTAAGTGCTTTTAGGCTTAGCCACGCACTGTATACCGTAATGGATAGCAAATACCTCATTACACTAAGCAAATGGCTGCAGATGTCTGTTGTAAAATGTGGATTATGAAATAGTTACCAGTGATCCTAATAAGATTCCTTATTACGAACTCACATCGTGTTATTGTGGCTAGGAATTACATGTGTGTATAATTTAACTACCAAAGTCCACTTTTTACAAAAACCGGTACATGTTCCCTGGCTCGGTATCACCGACCACTTACAGGTATCTGTTAGTAGCAGGCACCTTCCACATCTGAATTCCTTTCAAGTGTCCCTCCTTCCCCACGGTAACGTTGATATTTTTGTTCCTGTAAGTGCTGTCACACTGGGCTTGGGTTGGGCCCTGTGGTCCACTGGCACCGCATGATGTAAACCACCAAGTCATCAGAGAAACCTCTACAAAAGGCAATAGAGGGGGAAAAAATACTGCTTTTAGTTGTTTAATAAGCTGCAAAAACTATAACCATTTTCACATTGTTATGTGGAGGGGGGGAAAGTACCAAAAGCTTGAAAATCAGTAAACAGCTGAGATAAGATACGCAGTGAAGAACAGATGCATACATATGGCACATCTATAAGAGTCACAGGTAATTGCATTAAGGAGCTGGCATGTGATTGCCGAACACAAGCTGGATTAAAAGCTTCTGGTTAGCTGTGATGAGTAAACAATTGACCACCTGGTGTGCAAATTGTGCAAACAGAATGGATTAAAGATGACACAGTAGACTGGGACACTTCAGAAATTCACGCGCTATACAAGATAACTGCTGGAGCTGTGCACTACCTGAGGCCAAAGGCTCTGGAAGGGGGCTTAAGAAATCTTCAAAGTCGGTCGTGGGCAGCAGAAAGTTGAGATCTGATGGAGGGGAGGGGAAACCAAAGTAAAGGTAAAGGCAGGGGAAGAAAAAAAAAGAGAGGAGTCACAGTCACTCATCTGGATTTCACCTGATTATGAACTATATTTAGAATGAAAGTGGCACAGATTTCCTGAGAACAGGGCTACACCATGAAAACCTTTCTATCTTGGCAGTGTTTACCCACTGTGGAGCGTACAGACACGGGATTTTTGTCCGTTTATTGGTGGTAAAGGTTGTACGCTCCTCATTGCCAAGCCCTTAGGCAACAAGAGCCCCGTTAAGGTCTTATAACCCTCTCGAACACAACAAGATCCCCGCATAGAGTGAGATCATAAATGTGATGGGCAGACTCATTATTCTGAATTATTGCT